CCCCAAAACCCCAAAACCCCGCCTTTGACCAATAGAAATCTTGCATTAGTTTATAAAATAATTTTAATTTGAAACTTGAAATGAAAAGAGTTAGTAAAAGGCCTGAAATTCTACCTGTTAAGTAAACAATGAGGCAATAAAAAATTTACTATGCTTCCTTAGCTGATGAAGCTTAGAGATATGGAGATATGATAGAATATATGGGATGGATTGTATAGGTAATATTTATTATAAAAACACATATTTTACAGAAAAGTGTTAAAAAGCAAAAAGACCTCTCTAATGATGAGAAAAACTTGTTTAACATCGGATATAAGAATTTAATCACATAAAAAAGAAGATAACATAGAATAATATTGGAGAAGATATATCAATTTTAGGAGGAGGAAAAGGATGATGAGTCTGAAGAAAATGTAATTAGCCTTGCTTCTAATCATAAATAACCTATAGTAAATGAAAATGGGACTGATGAATATTACAAAGGACAAAATAGAGAGTGAAATTTGTGAAATTTGCGATAAAATTCTAGAAACAGTAGATTTATTGCAAGAGTTTAGTAAAACTTCAGAGTCTAGAGTGTTTTACTCAAAGTTAAGGGCTGATTTCTAGAGGTACTTGGCTGATGCTTCCTATACTGACCATTATCAATCTAAAGTTCAAAAAGCAAAGGAGAATTATGAAACAGCAATCAGAGATGCTGAAGGGCTTTTCACCACACATCCGCTTAGATTGGCAACTGCGCTCAACTATTCAGTCTTTATGTTTGATAATCTTAAGTAGCCAGCAAAAGCTGTAGAACTGGCAAAAAGTGCATTTGATATGGCATTATTTGACCTGGAAACAGTAGAGGAGGAGATGATTCAAGAAACTTTGAGAGTTATGCAACTACTGCGAGATAATGTTACTCTCTGGGAAGCTGATTTAAAATATGATGAGATGTAGGTTTAGAATTAAATTGACGAGGAAGATCGAGTTGAGCTAAGAAAAATAATTGAGAGGAAACACTTAGATGAGGAACAAAGAAAGAAAAATTTGCTTCATTTGCACAATAATAATGTATACTAGGAGGACCTAATTAAAAAGGACACAGATAATATTTTCCTTTGACCATATATCACCAAGCTTAAAGCTTATATTTTGTGATTTTTAGATATATATTTTAATGGTTTTTGCAAAAATAATTACTTGATTGATTTTATAATGGATGGGGTTTTGGGGTTTTGGGGTTTTG